CTCAGCCTCCTAGAGTGCTGAGATTACAGGCATGTGCTACCATCCCCAACACTTATTCTATTTTTGTACTTTTATCTTTGTATGTCTTTGGAATCAGGGATATGATTGCTTTATAAAATTATATGAGGAGAATTTCCTGTCCCTCTACTTTTTGAATGAAATTATGCAAGATAGACATTATCTCTTAAATAAGTGTTTCATAGAATTTATCAGTGAAATCTCTGTAGCTGGAACTTTTTAGAAGAATTGACAAAACAATTGCCTTAGTAGAAACATTGCTATTCATATTTTGGTTTTTAAATTATTTTACTTATTCATCCATTTAGTAGTCTTGCTTTTGGTAATGTTTGCTTCTCAGTAAATGTTTCCATTTCACCTAAACTGTCACATTTATTGTTGTAAAGGTACTAATAATATTTCTTTACTAATGTTTTATTGTCTTTAGAACCATTTCTAATACTGGTAATTTGTGCTTACTCTGTATTTCCTTATCAGTCATGCTATCAATTTATTAATTAATAAATTTTGTCTGTGCAAGTTTTTCAGTTGTTTGGTTTCTAGCACATATATTTTTCTTTTCACATATGTTTCCTTCTTTCTCTTAATTGAATTTGCCTGTCCTTTTCTAGCTAATGAAGTGGGAAACTTCAAGAACTAATTTTAATCTTTCCTCTTTTATAACATAGACATTTAAAGCTACTTCTCATTTAAGCCCTGCTTTCACATCATCCCAGTTTTCAGCTGTTGCTTTTAATCAATATGCTAGAAATATTTTCTAAGTTTCTTTGTGATTTTCTCCTTCAGTTATTAGAATGATGCTGTCTAATTTCCATATAATTTAAGATATTCTACATATCTCATTGCTATTGATTTCCTTTATGTTTTATATTTTATGAAAAAAATGAAATTTCATAATAAAATAATAAGAGTAACAAGAGTTAGTACACTGTGTATCATTACATTCAAAGTAGTTATTAAGAGTACAAGACATAGACAAAGAAGATTCTCTTTCACAGAGAAGAAACATGCAGATAATAGCACAAAACTTTCTTTTCAATGACGTCAGAGAAACCAATAGTATAAATATAACAAATTAGCATATATATTAAAAATTGTTATTGATTTCTTACTCATTACATTATAGAGATTATACACTAATGTTTCTGATGATTTAGTATTCATAGGGTCTCATTTTGTGACCCATCGTATAGTTCATCTTGGTATACATTTGCTATTCCCTTGAAGAAAACCTGCACTCTGTAGTTGTTGGATGTAGGATTCTTTATATGTCAATATTGTCTATGATGTTAACAATGAGATTCAGTTCATCTATGCCTCTACTGACATTTTTTCCTTGTTTGTTCAATGACCGAGATAAGAGTAATAGAATCTACCACTACAATTGTGAATTTGCCTATCCCTTTAATTTTTTCATATTTGGCTTCATGTGTTTTGGACTTCTGTTCTTATGATTATTAAATAGTCTTTTGTGGTAAATAAAGGGAGAAAAGATATATCTTTTTATATCACATATACATGAACATATAATCACATATACATCATTTCGAGTGCTTTTCATTTCACACTACTATCTAGTCCCTTTAACCTGAATAAATTTCTATTTATTTTCATGCAGTTAAGTTGACTTCTCTGTATCTTTCAAAATATCTTAATTTTGCCTTTGTTTTTGAAGTATATTTTCACTGTATGATAATTATTTGCAGATTTTTTTCAACTTCTAATAATACTTTTGCAGTTGTACATCATCCAATCTTTCTAGTGAGAAGCCTATCACTATTCATATAATTGTTCCACTGTATTAAGGTGAATTTTTCCTCTAGCTTTCAAGATTTTATTTTAATATCTTTTTTCAGTAATTCTACTATGATGAAACTCTATGTATAATTTTCTTTGTTTTTCTCTTGTTAAGTTCTGTTGAACTTCTTATATCTCTGAATTTGTATTTTTCAACTATTGTGGGGAACTCTTGCCATTATTACTGCACCATTATTATTTCTATTCCCCTGCCATTTCTCTCTTATCCTTATGGTACTCTATTTACATTTATTTCATACTATTTAATATTGTAATGCAGCTGGGGATGTAGCTCAGTGGCACCAGACCTTCCTGGCAAGTCCAAGGTCCTGAGTTCAATCCCCAGTACCGAAAAAAAAATATTGTTATGAAGTCATTGAGATCCTATTCATTATTTTTTCCCTCTGTGTTCCTCAGATTAGATCATTTTTTTGTAATTTAAATTTTTAAGTCCACAGATCATTTCTTCTATCATCTCAATTCTGCTCTTAAGCCCACCTGATGAACTCTTTTTTCTTTTTCTGTTTTTCAAATTCTTTTTTTATAGATAGTTTTCAGTACTGTTGTAATTCCTTACCCGTTAACTTATAAGTAAATTTTCTTTAACTCAGAAAATATATTCATCTTATCTGTTTTAAGTCTTTGTTTAAAGTACTAACGTCTATGTTATTTGAGGTGGCAGTGGGGTATCTGGGGATCCAACCCAAAACCCTGAGCATGGTAATCATGCACTCTACCACTGAGGCAAACCTCCAGGCTTGTATTATTTTAGATTTGGTTTTCCTTGGTTGGTCTTTTTCATGACTTTAGGTCACTTTTTTTTTTTTGGTACCAGGGATCGAACTCGGGTCCTTGTGTTTGCAAGGCAAGTGGCGGAACCACTGAGCTAAATCCCCGGCCAAGATCACTTTTAATAGGCAAGCTTTTATTTTTTTACAAATGATAAAAATTTAATTTTCTATCATTAGAATTCTAAGTTCTAGACTATACAAGACTTATTAAAAGCCCATTATGTAAAAAGAGATTCAATTTCTAATCTGCAACTCCATAGTTGGGTGTTTGGACAATTAATTTAATCTCACATTCTATGTATTTGTTCTTTTTGTAAATTGGAAGTTTTAATTGCACAGTGGACATTGTGGATAATATGGAAAGACTCTGGGTTCTCTTCCTCCAAATAACATTGAAATTTTGTTATAAAAAATGGTTAACTCAGGGCCAGTGATTTAACTGAGTCGTGCTGCTGCCTGCCTCAAAAGCTCAAGGTCCCAAGTTTGATCCCCCATACCAAAAAACAAAAAAACAAAAAAACAAAAAAAAAGCAAAAACAAAACAGTTAAATCAGCTGAACTCACATTTACAAATGTTTCCCCATCATTGGACAGCTCATAAATCTATGCTCAGTTATTGCAATCTTCCAGCTATTTCTTTTTGCTTGGTTGTAGGAATGATCCACTACATATATAAAGCTCAGGATTTAACCAAGAATTTGGATGGAATTTTCAGGAATATTTTTCGCTCCCCTCCTCCCTGTGTCTCCTTTCATTCTAGCATGTCCTCTCTCATTTTCTGGCCATTGTGGCATCCTCAGGTTTCTTTCTCTGATTTCTGAAGCCAGTATGACTATGGCTTTTTGTCATAGTTCTAGCCAACTTCTGCTATGCAGACTGAGAGTTGTACTCAGGAGAAAAAAGCATATTAATGTAAATTCACCCAGTGTAATTTCTTTCTTTTAAGGATAAAATCCCCTTCACTTTCTTCATTTGGTCATTTTCCTGTGTTATAAAATAGTTCTTAATATTTTATCCAGAATGTTTAGTTCTTATCTCTAATGGATTAATATGAAAAAAAGGCATTGCACTACCATCTGAAATGAATCACTTTGAAGTCTTCTTAACACTATAGAAAGCACTTTACTGAAAAACCACTGCCCTCAAACTAATGATACTAAAATAAGTCTTCTGTAGAACACTATTCACATAACTTTAATGGTTGCTCTGTTAGGAGGACAGTGTGTTGTATGATCAGATGAGACTTGGATAATACTCCAAAACAAACAGAAATAGGTCTGTTTGCCCCCAAATTTTAAGCATCTTGAATATGCTAATGGATCTTTTATATTCCTAAACAGAACAAGTCTTAAGAGATATTGTGCCAAAATTTTCAGTACATAATTAGTAAATTCACTCATTCATTCAAAAATATTTATTGAATTCCAAAGCATGGGGATTACAGTATAATCCTGTCTCCAAGTATAATACTCTTTATGTTACAATTCACTATCATTTTTTAATTTTCAAATTTTATTTCGGTCACTGACTCATAATGCCTATGTTTAGGCTTTTATGTCCTAACCAATATTCTTTTGTAATCATATCTATGTAATCAGAGGTGCTTGTATGGGAAAAGTACAGTAAAAACAGATATTCATCTATCATTAATTACATGGATTAAAGTACATGAAATTATCCAGCATATATTCAATACAGATTAGTAGTTTGATAAATGTTTAGTTTTCTTCTTAAGTGTCTTCTCCCTCTTTTTGTCTATTAAGTCAGTGACTTCAACAAGATAGATAAAGGGTGAGCAGATTAAAGTTATCAAGCCAAATACAGTAAGAGGTTTATTTTATATGATCCAAGAGCTAAGGATTCTTTTGGTCACTTCTAACAGGCCATTTTTAAAACTAAGGAAAGAAAAGCTGGGGATACAGATCAGTGGTAGAATGCTTGATTTACATTTGGGAGGCCCCAGTTTCCATTCCCAACCCTGAAAAATAAAAGTAACCAAACAAAAACAAACCAAAAATATCAGAAAGAAGAAAATGTCACAAAGACCTTATATGTCCCAGAAACTCTAAAATATTTACTACATGGCTTTTTATTGAAAATATTTGCTGACCTCTGAGATATAGACTGATATAAAATAAGTTCTCTAAAACAATCAATGTAGTAGAATTCATTTTACATACTTAATTGTTGAGATAGAATCCCTGTTTTTAAAATGTTTGTAAAATCAGCAGTTTAGGGGCTGGGGATTTAACTCAGTGGTACAACGCATTTCTAGCAAGCATGAGGCCCTGGCTTCAGTCCTCAGCACCAAAAAATTAAAAAACAAAAAAGCAAAAAAAAAATCAGTAGTTTAATAATTTTACTAAGTGTGGAAAGGACCATCTCAGATCTTACCTTTTTTCCTTTTACACCACTACAGTCACACTTTGATCCTGGAGGACAACCATAGCAAGCCTATAAGGAATTTAAAGAGGGGAAAATCATTAAACATAAACCAAAAAATCACACCTAGAACTCAACTGAATTCAGCAATCTATACATGTAAAACAAATGGCAAACATTGGTTACCTGTGCAGAAGCTTTTTTATTATATACATTTTATTATATACAATAAAAGTAGAAATATCGGTTTAAAAAGATGTTAAAATGAAAAATAATGTAACTTTCTTGTAATATGGTTTTTCACTTTTCCAAGCCCTAAGAACTAATTTTTCTCTTAACATTGATTGTAAGAAATCACCTTTCAATTTATATTAGAAATAACTTTGGCAACTAGACAAGAATGGCTACCACTTTAAGCAAACTTGTTTTTCTGCATTTACATGCATTCAGAGAACATAAACTACACAGTACTGTATTTTACCACCTGTTTTCTTTGCTCCTATTTGCTCATCATTAATAGTGTCTCAATTTCTAATAACTCTAAGCTTTAACACAAATGATGTTCCCATAACCTAGATATTCTAAATGGCCACAACTAAAAAATTCATTCACAGCAAAAATGGTAGAGCACTGAGTGACAGCAATTCAGCCTTTCTGAGACTCAGAATCCTAACACTGGGAAGTAACAACTTGGGGAAGAAGAAGAAAAAAAGAGAGAAATAGAGCCCCGAAGGAACTGAGATGAAAATTAAAAGCTACAGAGGAGTTGAAGAGATGGACTACAAGGCAGAGAAGGGAACAAAACAGTTTGGACTTTCTCCTTGTCTCCCAGCTTGAGGTTCATGGGGAAAGGAGTTTGATTCTGCAGAAGAAATGTGAGTAATTGGGGCTCCACGGAGAAACTGCAGCAGCAAACTGGGGTGGCAATGAGAGGACATCAAAGGTACTGTGATCTCCTGAAACAGTACAGGGTTTTACTCTGATGGGACTCTTCTGTATCACAGCCAACACCAGGAGAGGGATCCCAGAGCAGGCACCTCCAACATCACCTGAGAGTGAGGGGTTGGGTGTCAATCCAGGAAAGGTTTGGATGTTTAAATCTGGGATGCAAAACACCTGGGGGCCAGCTTCACTTCAGAGTTACAACTTTTACCCTTCCACAATGACCGAGTCAGAGACAGTATGGTAGACAGCCACAGACAGGGGCATGTAAGAAAGAGACCCTAAAGGGGTTTGTGCTGGGGCCAGCAAGGACACAGGCCTCATACCCCATGGCAATAAGACATGTTTAGCATGAGTTGCTCTGGGTTTGAGGGTGTTCATATTTGAGTACTTGAACCCTCACCCTACTGTTTCCATCTAGCATGGATGTGGGGTTTGCCTGCCTTCCTTATCTGCTACATGAGCAGAAACATCATGGCTTGGACATTGCCACAGCCTGGTGCAAACAGAGAGGACTCTGGATGGCAGGGGGAAGCACCTTGGAAAACCACAAGCATTAAGGCTAGGTGCAAAAAAACAAGGAATGCTAGACTCCAACACTGAGGTGCTCAGAAGGAAACCACTTATGGAAGCTAAAAGGTTTTTTTGGAGTTTTTGTCTGTTCTCTAATACTTTTTTTTTTCCATTTCTCTTTCATCTTCACTGGTATATTGAGGTTGGGGGA